TCTTGACAGTACTCAACATACATGTCTAGTATTGTTACTCGTATTCAATTACATTGTATTCATAAACTAAGCCAATACATAAAAATATTATTTTAATCACTTTAAAAGTATCCTTTAAAGTACTTACTTTTTTTATCCGGATACATTGTCAGTATCCGTATCTGATACTCGGATACTTTTTTCCCGTATCCGACCCAACTCTGCTATCATGTGTCCTTAAAAATCTTTGCCACAATTTAGCTTCAACTTTAAATTCAAAATATGTTCAACTTTGAACCTTGATATATTTGCTGTGCCGTAACTAGGACGGTGCCCAGGCACAGGGCGCAGACCCTTAGGGGCGCAGAAATGGCTCTGCGGTGGCTTTTTAAGGGCGCAGTTATAGGAGCTCACAAGCTAGTTACCTAGTTTTGTACAAAAATATTCAACAAAGTAAAAATTTAACTAGAAAATAGAAAACAGTATGGTAAGTTCGTTTAAACATAATTACAAGCATAAAAAATTAGTTAATAAATAATAACTAGCTCATGGACCCTAAACAGTTTTCTTATGTTGCTTAGTTTTAGAGTAAAATCGGTATATATGGAACAGTCGGGTACCTAATATGTAATTTTCCATATTTTTAAATCGGATTGCTCTCTCTTAAGTGGTACAGGTATTAAAATGTTCTTTAGAATTTTAGGCCTAAATAAAATTTCCTCTATACGTCATCAACGTCGCAAAATGTGAAGTTATGATATCCCTGTGTGTATAGTTTGTGCACGGAGTCAGTTAAAAACATTTTGTGAAATTAATTTTTTTAAAAAGCATAGTGAGTTTCTTTAAGCATAAGATCAGAAATCTTGACGATTTGGTTCCATATTTTGTATAACAAATAGAGAATAAGTATTGTTTAAATTTTGTGGAGCGGCTAATATGGAACATTCCACATTTCTCGTCTTATTGATTTACCCACTGAGTATAAAGTTATTGAAATTTTTACTGTACCTAGATACTGAAATTATGGCTACTTCTTTGCCGAAAAAAACGAAAACAATGAGGTGCGAAAGATAATAGTATTTAAGTATTACATAAAGTATTTTGCGTATATGGACCTATTCCATATTACCCTGTATGGCCATTTAATATTACCTACCCTCCATTTTTGTTTACGAACAAAAAAGTATTTTTTAGTAATTTAGTACCTGTGAGATACTTAGAACTATTTAATAATGAAAATAATGCAGCTCCAAACACTTAAGTCTCTAAGTTATTACTCAAGTAATCGGTAGTCCATATAGGTATGCCAACTTTACTCTACTTTTTCATTTTCAATTTCTATTATAAAATGTCCCATATCTATCAGACGCGACATCCAGAATATCAGAACATAACTGGAAAATAAAAACAAAAACGTTAGACATACATAATTTTCTTTAGGTAAAAGTTTATCGATAGTTAAAAAATTAATTTTGTAGTATGACTCTTTTACCTAACTCTTAGACATAATCAATATTTTCAAGAAATCATATAATTTTTTGAAGTCTTCAATGTTTAAAGAACGCTCTAGTTGTTTGGCTACCACTGATTTAGTAAACAGAATTGTGTAGACAGTGCACTCTATTATCGTCAACTAACACTAATAGAAATTGTTTCTGGTTATCAAATGTAGAATGCGCTATCGTCCCCTATTTCGCATTCCACTAATTTTTTACGGAAACTGTAATGAACAAAAATATCTACTCGATGGTAGTTTCGCTTCCCAAAAATAGATGGTGCTATTCATACAACAGTTAACAAAATGATTTTCTTAAGTATTTTGACATTGTCAATTTCATCTCTCATCCAGTGTTGCCAGTTTGTTACAATTGTAACAAATCTATTACATTTATGAAGGATTTATTACATTATTACATGTCCAATAAATCTATTACATTTTCACGAGCCTCGAACAATTGATGAACTTGAACCTGACATGAACCTAACCACCGAGTCTTTATTTTATTGGTTTATTATTTTATACAACTAATCCCATCCCAAACATGTTTCTTTGATTAGGTTCATCCCAAACATATTTTCTTGAGCATGCCCAAAGCGCTTAAAAAGTTTCTTATATCATTGGACCTTTCATTGGAGGCCGAATTTCCTTTTCCTTCATTTTCTTAATAAAAGGTTTGTTTCAACCCACATCCCCAACTAGCCATTCATAAAAGTGTATTTGTTGTGAAGTTCTCATCATCATCTATTGTATAGTCCAGGAGACAGTGACGATTTTCGGTATTTATTTTCCCAGTCAGCAAGCACGAATAGAGAATTGTAGGATTAGCAATTCTAAGCAAAATTCATATATATTTAGAGGGGGGATCCGATGGGCTGAGGCCGAAAATGCGTCAAAACATACGAGAACACGGCCCTTTTTTTCCATTGATAAAAATAGTTTTAGTAGTAAGAGATGTACTGAAGTTAAGTAAAAAAATGGTCTGATTAATCTGTATGGATAATATATTTGGCAAGTGCATAAAATACTTTCAAACGAGTTATATACACAATTATTTCTACGGCCACAATTATTTAAATAATGTTCCAGGTGTTTTGTATATTAAAGTGTACGCATCGGACACATCAATAAAATCTTATATCACAATCTTTCACCTAACCAGTTGGTTTATTTATAGAAATTAAACATAATAATTGAAGATAATGCAGAAGAAAATAGGGAAATAATTATAATTATTGTTAGTTTCGTTATGTCAAATCATTTATACTAGAGGTGTGAGGAAAATACAGTGAACTGTGGAACGCCAATATCGTTGGATGCGCGTGGTAGAAATGGTCCTATAATACTGCTAAAAACATAGCTAAATTTTCATGGAAACACTGTTCTTTTGACAATTGCGATACTCCGACGCATATGCATTATTGATGTAATCTCATGATTTTACAGTAATAGTTTTTGCAATTTTAGTGTGATTTTTAGGTTATTATGGTTATTCATTTTATTTGGTTCTGATCTTTTGCGCTTTTAGAGTATTTGTCTTTTATATAGTTTTTAATTTGAATTTTAATATTGTGGTCTATTTATATTTGATTGCTGCTTTTCGACTAGTGCTTTATTCTTTTTGTGTTAAAATAAGCGTTATAACCATTAAGTACATGCTTCTAGTTGATATCTACCTAATCGTCATCGGGTGCTTGCAACAATGGGAAAAAGTGTATGGTTTTTTTGGTGTAAAGTTAGACGCATTCATTTTTCAGGTAAGTTATTTGTAGTTATTTTTTACTTAAAAGGATAGCAATACGTGTGTGACTTTTGGGTTTTAGCTATCTGAGCCAAATTGTCGGCCAAGTGTCCTCTTTTAGGGCACCCAGAAACGAAAACTATATAGGTATATAATATGTTTTTTTTAATTATTTTTTAATATGTATGCAGCTTGGATGAAGGCTTTAGGAAGAGATCCTAAGACTGAACACTGACTGCTATAAATGCCGTTTTTAGAGCACATTTCATAGTGATTTCATTCTAGCAGCAATGAGGGAACGTTTAAAAAACATGCTGTACCAGCTATTACTTTAAGACCTCGTCTCTTTAAGTTATTATTACTTCATTCTAATGCATATATTAAAATGGTTTTTAACTTATGTCCTTATGATTAAAAGATGTAGGTATTTTAGTTATATTATAATAGAAATATATGATACTTTGTATTGACTGACCTACTGGCTACTGGTCATTCCACTTTTTTCATAAATTATCAAATTACTTAAAAACAAATACATACCTAGCTATTTTCTGTAAATTACATTAAAATTTTAGTATTAATACTTTACTAATAAAACTTCAGTTAATTTATCTTATATATATACACAACGGAAGAGTTAATTGGATTTTCTCCTTGTTGAGTTTCAAAAATAGTAATTTAACATGATTTAAAAACAAATATATGAAATGGGCAAAATAGGCCTACAGAGGCACTTTGTAAACAATCTCACTTGTATCGATGTGACGTAATGCGCGAATTCAATCTGGCTTACTTTTGTTAATAGATTGGCGTTCCATTTTAAATATACAGTTCACCGGGAATAGATTATTTAAATATACATGGACCGGGAAAAAAAGTACGAAAAAATTCACTGGCTCCTGGACTAGTACTGTATCGAAGAAATTTTTATGAATTAAATAATATACGACCCTCCACAATTGCTGTCTACTCAACTTCCGCTGTTGTCAGACATTATTTTTTTTTGGACAATTTAAAGACCTAACAGTAATTCAAGCAAACGCAATAACATTACTACAGTTAAAAACATCGCAAACTTGGCATCAATATTTTAATTTTATCCAAATATTGCATTTCTGTCGAGGATCATCCGCGTTGACTTCAGAAATTGTGTAATCTGTATTGGTTATATATATATATATATATATATATATATATATATATATATATATATATATATATATATATATATATATATATATATATATATATATATATATATCTATAGTTAAAAGCACGTAAACTTGGCATCAATGTTCAATCCGATTATTGAGTTTCTACCGCGGACACCACCGTTCATTCTTCAAAAATTTTGTAAATAATCCTATCTGTCTTGGTTATATATCTATGTTTCAACCCCAGTATAGAAGCGTTCTGAATTTATCTGCGCATGAGTAGTACGAAGGGTAGAACAGTTAAATCGTACTACAGCTACAGGTACTATTCATGCGCAGATAAATTCAGAACGAGTCTGCTGTTGCAACAAAATTAAAATTATAAGAATGTGGAACAAAAATATCCTCGTGCTGCATTATGACAATAATTGAAAGACTGTCGTTGTTCTTATCAATAAATAAGTTATTAAAAACATGAAATATTAATTATCAATATCAATAAAATAAATCTATTTTTTATGTATAGTTCATTTTAGGTTCATTATAATTTCTATTACATTTTCTTGAAATTTATTACAATTTTGGGAGTTCATCTATTACAATCCTTCAGAGTGCTCTGGTAACACTGCTCTCATCTCTATAACATAACCTTATTTTTAAATATCCTATTTTACTTTAAATTTGAAAATGTTTTCGTCGTCATTATTAATAAGAAGCGCATTAAAAACTAAAACTATATCCCGCAATTTTCACGTATCAAATCAACGGTATGAAATTCAAAAACTAACTAGGCTACGAGTCGTTGACAACAGTGAAATTGGGAAGCAAGCTATGGCAGAAGGAAGACCTCCTAGATGTATTCATGTTTATAATAAAACTGGCGTTGGAAAAATAGGTATAATCATAGTAAATACTGTTAAATAAATTTTATTAAATTTAAATGTTTGTAGGTGATAAAGTATTAGTAGCAATCAGAGGCGAGAAGAAAAAAGGTATTCTAGTGGGATTAAAGCAGAATCAAAAAACAAAAGTGCCAAAATTCGACAGTAATAATCTAGTTCTAATAGATGATAATGGTACCCCATTAGGAACTAGGATACATGTACCCATACCAACAATCCTTAGAACAATCTTGAAGGAAAAAACTTTTTCCAAAGGAGCCGATTATACAAAATTACTGGGTATTGCGTCAAAGTTTGTGTAGAATATAGAAATAGTTGTTATTGTAAATAAAATATTTATATAGACACAAAATGGTGTTACTTTGAAAACATGGGGTAAATATTTTCTTATATAAATATCACTTAGTTAAATAAATAGTTAATGACATTGGACATGATGGTGGGTGAGGTTTTCCGGGTTTTTGTCGCTTTTAGGTCAAATGGCACCATCAATCATCGCCCCAGAACGCCATGGCAAAGAATACAGAAAATAAACAAGCTCGGTTGGCTTCAGGGGTTGAAATTCACTAGTAAGGAGGTGAATTAGGGAGAGTATTATTATTAGTTATGCCAATGACACAGTCCTATTTGTAATCATAGTTAAATTGCAGTAAGCTAACCCTTAACCTAGATAAAAAGGATGGGGGGGGGGCATCCTTTCTATGTCGAGTAACTCGATCTCGATACAATTTATATTTCATTCCAATTATGAAAAGAGATCAGATTTGACTTTGGAAATTCGACAAAATAATGAAGCATTCAAATTCCTCTGACTTAATAATAATAATAGTTTATTTGTCCTTTAGAATCATGTTACATGATATATATGAATAAAAAATATTAAAATACAAATAAATGTAGGTACAGTATACAAAAAATTATATATGTCTAAGACATGCACATTAAAAATATACAATTAGAAAAACATTTATCTTAAAATATGGTAGTATTCAGTAAAATTATAAAAACATGAATCTACTAAATAGTTTTTAAGTTTTCTTTTAAAAGGTTCATATTTCTTTTCAGATTTAATGAAATCAGGGAGTTGATTAAAAAATTTAATTCCAACAAATTCAGGCGATTTCTCAAATAATGCTGTTGAAAGTCTTGGTGTTCTTAATAAATTTGCATTCCTAGTTGAGTATTCATGGTAATTTGAATTTTGTAAAAATTGGTGTATGTTGCGTTTAGCATATAGCAACGTTTTATAAATGTAAATTTTTTGAAGTTATATTTACAAGTTTGCATTAATCCTAGATTAAAAATAAGTCAGATTATTCTTTTCTGTAAGATAAATACTTTAGATGCATTGACTGCATCACCTCAAAGAATAATGTTGTATGAAATATGAGAATATGCTAAAGCATAGTAGACATTAAGAAGTTGCTCTTGGGTAAATATTGATTTTAATTTTAGTACTGCATAGTATGCGCTGTTTAATTTTTTACAAACATTAGATATTTGGCTATCCCAACCCATATTGCTATCAATATATCATAATTTCTGCATTATTGACATTTATTTTACAATTCTGGGTAATTTGACTTCTGGAGTAGAACTGAAGGCAAACGGTTTTGTTTGAATTAACAATTAAAGAATTTCTATAACTCCATGATGTAAACTCATTAGATAAAACATTTAATTTACTAATTAATTCATATACTGATTGTGCGTTGGTGGCAATTGTTGTGTCATGTGCATATAAAATTTTGTTTTCTGAGTTAATATGATTAGGCATATCATTTATGTAGCATAGAAAAATTATAGGTCCTAAAATTGATCCCTGAGGCACACCCATATCAACGCTTTACCTAGTTCAGACTTACAATTTTCGACTTTGACATAGAACTGTCTGTTATTTATATAAAATGACAACCAAGACAAAAATTTGACTCTAAAACCAAGCCCTTCCAACTTTTGAATAGCGACATCTAAGTTGATTGAATCAAACGCCTTTGATAAATCAAAGAAAAGCGCACCCACAAACAACTTCTGATCGATAGAAGTATGTATGAAATTAAAAAGATCTATTGCTGCACTTTCAGTAGATTTTCCTGGAAGGAATCCATTTTGATTTTTGCATATTATTTCATATTTTTTAAGAAATATTAGTATTTTTTTGTGGACACACTTTTCAAAGATTTTGCTTAAGATTGTAGGCACTGTAATAGGTCTATAATTAGCAATTAAATTATTATCATCTTTTTTAAAGATAGGAGTTACATATCCTACTTTCAGATAATCTGGGAAAATACCTAGCTGAATAGACTGATTGATTAAGCTAGAATTTGAGAGATATGATGACTAATACGTTCTATTATCTTTGTGGAAATGCAGTCAATGCCCATAGAGTTAACATTTTTTTTAATGGGTGAATAACTTCAATTACATCACGATGATCAACAGGAGAGAAGTAAAAGGTCTGAGAGACACATGAAGCAGTAAAATTTTTAAAATTCAAATCATTGAAATGACACTGTAGTGCTTTTTTTGTGGAGGTGGTAAAATGCTCTGCAAAAACTTTAGCTATTTGTTTTAGTTCAATAATTGACAGTCCTCCTACTTCAATTTGTTTAATTTGAGAACCATCTTAGTAATTTACCTGTTTCCATATATATTTTTGTTTTTGCTGAAAAGTTTTATTGTGCAATCCCTTTTGAAAATGACATCTTTTTGCTCCATTTATATTATTGACATATTGTCTCTTTGCTTCTTTGTATCTAATATGTATATTCACATCATTAGAATTTTTTACTAACTAAAATAAATTCCTTATATCAGCTCCCATCCTCAAAATATCTGGAGTTATCCAGTTATTTTTTTTATTTGTCTTTACAGCTCTTGTGATAACCGGACATTTTACTTCTATATAGTAATTTAGAATATTTAAGAATGTTTCATAGGCAAGATTTATGTTATCAAAATATTCATACACAGAATCAGTTTTCAGAACCTATTTTTTGCTGCAGATTAAGTAAATTCGCCTCTGATAAGTCTCTAAAATGTATTTTTCTACACCCGTATTATAATAATGCACTTATATGCCCATAATCCGTTTCATAATGATACCCATTATGATACAGATTTTTCATTATGATACAGATTTTTAATCAATAGAAACCTACAATTTTTCAATCAAGCATGATGTTTGACGTTTGTCCTAAATTCCTATGTAATTGTTTTAGTTGTCAAAACGTATTACATTTTCGTAGATAGCTAAACTTCGATAATTATAATATTAAAATGTCTGATATCAGCGATATAGAAGACTCCTCCACACATATCGGAGAAAGGAGAAAATGCAGTACAAAATATTTTGCCCCAAAAATCTGTGGTAATACCAATACCCAAGCTAATAATTAATTACAATTTTGTAGATTTTTTTATAGAAATACGAGTAATTACTGTTATTGTGTTCAATGCCAATATAAATAGAATATTTATAGGTCTTGATTATTTATCGGGTGTAGAAAAAATAGCGTATGCAACTCTCATGTAATGGTTATTACATGATCGTTGCATAATATACTATTTTCTACACCCGTATTATAATAATGCACTTATATGCCCATAATCCGTTTCATAATGATACCCATTATGATACAGATTTTTCATTATGATACAGATTTTTAATCAATAGAAACCTACAATTTTTCAATCAAGCATGATGTTTGACGTTTGTCCTAAATTCCTATGTAATTGTTTTAGTTGTCAAAACGTATTAAATTTTCGTAGATAGCTAAACTTCGATAATTATAATATTAAAATGTCTGATATCAGCGATATAGAAGACTCCTCCACACATATCGGAGAAAGGAGAAAATGCAGTACAAAATATTTTGCCCCAAAAATCTGTGGTAATACCAATACCCAAGGTAATACCATTAATTACAATTTTGTAGAATTTTTTATAGAAATACGAGTAATTACTGTTATTGTGTTCAATGCCAATATAAATAGAATATTTATAGGTCTTGATTATTTATCGGGTGTAGAAAAAATAGCGTATGCAACTCTCATGTAAATGATCGTTGCATAATATACTATTTTCTACACCCGTATTATAATAATGCACTTATATGCCCATAATCCGTTTCATAATGATACCCATTATGATACAGATTTTTCATTATGATACAGATTTTTAATCAATAGAAACCTACAATTTTTCAATCAAGCATGATGTTTGACGTTTGTCCTAAATTCCTATGTTATTGTTTTAGTTGTCAAAACGTATTAAATTTTCGTAGATAGCTAAACTTCGATAATTATAATATTAAAATGTCTGATATCAGCGATATAGAAGACTCCTCCACACATATCGGAGAAAGGAGAAAATGCAGTACAAAATATTTTGCCCCAAAAATCTGTGGTAATACCAATACCCAAGTTAATACCATTAATTACAATTTTGTAGAATTTTTTATAGAAATACGAGTAATTACTGTTATTGTGTTCAATGCCAATATAAATAGAATATTTATAGGTCTTGATTATTTATCGGGTGTAGAAAAAATAGCGTATGCAACTCTCATGTAATGGTTATTAAAACACTCGCATAAACCATACGAAACTCGCCTTTGGCTCGTTTCGTATCCCGGTTAATGCTCGTGTATTAATAACCATCATTACATGATCGTTGCATAATATACTATTTTTCATTGATATCAGTTACCTACATAACAATTTTCCTTTACATAATTTAATGACACGTCAATTGCTAGGTGATCTCTAATACAGAGGTCTACCACGGTTTCCGTATATGTAGAAAGGTAGTTTGTGAGAAAATAATCAATTTTAGTACGCGACGTTTTACCGTTTTTGTCAGTACAAATTCTAGTTGGTTCTCTATTTAAACAACGCAAGTTAAAACACTCCATCAAATCAACTAATAAAACTTTTTCTCGTGAATCTTTTAAAAAATCAATATTGAAATATCCACAAATTATGATATATTTGAAATGACTATAACAATAATTAAGAAGCATATACATCTTATTAAAAAACGTATCAAGATTACCTGTTGGGGCCCGATAAATAGTTAACAAACAATACCCAAGTCCATTTAAACTAAAGGTAATTGAACAACATTCAAAATTTAACCCTTCACTTTTGTCACTAATAAATCGCGGTATATCATACAACAAAGATTTCTTTACAAGTATCAAGACACCACCATGATCCTTATCAGTCCTATTAAAGAATGCGGCCTGATGGTATCCATCAAAACAAAATATATTGATATTATCATCATCACACCAGGTCTCCGAAAGGCATAAGATATCTGGCGATTTTTGATTTATAATTAATTCAATCCGGTTAGTTTTATTTGTTAATGACTGTACATTTACATTTATTATCCTAAACTTAACATCCACATCATGATTGTTCACAATTTTACCATTTATGTTTTTAGTTGGAGATCTGTGCTGAGAGAAAAATCCTCGATACTATCATTATTAACTAAAGTTTCATCCTCATCCAAATTGTTAAGGCGGGTACAGATCTGAGCACATACGCGTATGAGGCAAGTCGAAGCCAAACCGAATGCCTCGTGCGACGCATTTTGTATACACGAATGGTAGACGCACGAGGCGCTGTTCGCCACTGATCCAGTAAATTTGCGAGCACACAACCATATACCTAGAACATTCGTAAAATTAAAACAAAAATGAAGGAAAGGGATGACGTCGCGAAGTTAAGTGCATATTTTATTATTTTATCCGATACATTAAAGAAAAAAGGGGAGAAAGGAATCGATGGTCGATTTTCTGCCAAGGATATTCTCTTTTTTATGGTGCTGTAAGATATTACGCTAATTATTTAAATCCAGGAGAAGTAAAACGTTTTCCTGGTTCCACTCCATGCAAAATAATTCCTAAAAACTCGCTATAATCTGTACGGTGCTGTATGGTACAAATACCCCGCCCAGACTGATCACGTACTGTGCACTGCCTCTCTTTGATGTACCGCCAACAAACGGATCGGGACGAGGCCGTACGGCGCACACAACGGGGCAATTTGCCGCGCCTCGGAGGCCCGTCCATATCTGCATGCTCATGCGTCCTCGGCTTGCCTCATACGCGTACGTGCTCAGATCTGTACCCGGCTTTATATGTCTGATTACAGTCTGACATTCGACTACTGGTTTTAATAAAAATTAAATTTGATGCTGGTTTTTTAGGAGAGTCTATTTCTTTTTTTAATATGCAGGATATTTGATTGTTGTTTAATTTATTAGCGTTATTGTAGTTGGCATTTAAAAAAAATAGCAGGTCTTTCGTGATACCTATTAAAGACTTCCAGAAAACTAAATAACTTATTATTAAATTTGGAGACTTGTTGGGCGCATTCTTAATTAGGACTGGAAGCAGATAAAAATATGAAATTTGTTTGTGTACAACTTTTTAATTTGTAATTTATATTCTTAATACCAGGGTACCGTTTATTGAAAAAGTCATTGGATCCAGCCATTACAATGATGAAATCTTGGGCCGTAAAATTTCTTGATAAATTTTCAACATCTTCTATTACACTAACGAATTGCGCACCGGGTTTTATAATCATCTGAATTTTGATATTTACTCCGGAATACCTTTTTCTTAATTCCCTATCTAATCCTCTAGCGGTCTCATCAGTCAGTATCAAAATTTGCCTAGGACTCTTTGTAAAAGTTACACTTGTTACATTTTTTGGACTAAATATCACTTCTTTCTGATTTTTTAGTTTTTACAGCGCATTTTCCATATTTTTGTTTGAAGCTTCTAGTTTAGAAATTTCGTTCTCTAAATTTGCCAACTTCTTGACATATTCCTTACTAATTTTCTTTGTATCATTCTGAAGTGTTTCATTTTCTTTTTCTAAAATGCTTATCGTGGTAACCATATTTTTACTTAATTTATTCAAATCATCAATGTCCTTATTCAATTTCACCACAGCTTCATCTTTTGTGATAAGTTTTTTAGAATATTCAGTATTTATTTTTTCGTATGAATCAAGCTTTAATTTTAAATTATCCATTTCTTTTAATTGATTTGAAAGCTTTTCGATGAATTTATCTTCCGCTTCTAGTACCAAATATTCATAGCTTTGAGTACCCCTTTTAAATCTATTGATGTATCTTTCTTTTTCTTCCAAAGTTTGTTTAAGTGTATATATTTCTACCTCATATTCTTTAACATTTGCTTCTTCTTCATCATTGTTTTTAATTTGACATGTCTGGGAACAATAAATTTGTTGATTCCCAAGTTTAATTGCATGTTTCACGTCCCTTTCTAGACAACTGGGGTGAAAAACTCCTGAACACATTACACAAACAAAATTTTTAAATTCTTTGCCACAACATTTAAATGTAGACATTTTAAATTGATACGCCACTGGACACAAGTTGAACGATCGATTTCCACAGCAATGCGCTAGTTGGTGTGGTATCATTTTGGTTCCACTGTCATTTAATTCTAACCAAGCTTTTAACAAAAACATTATTAAATTTGACATATACATTTTTACTGTTTTTATTTTATTTCAAAATATTGTTTACAGGTCATAAAAAATAGTTTATAGGTATGTAATTGGTAACTAAACGATTTTATATTTGATACATGCTATCTACTTACTTTAGAAATAAATTTATAAAAGTGAAAAAAACGATATAATTTAGGTAAACAAAACGAACAAAACGCTCTCAAAAAATCTACTGTCACTTTAATTGTCAGTGGAACCATAATTACATCATCACTGAACTAGCGCATACAGTTATCAGTTTTGCACTTTTTTTATGAATCACAAGAAATAGTTTTTTGCGCAGACAAGTTTTTATATTAAAACTGAATTTAAATTATTATTTCATCAAATAACCACTATAAATCGCATCAAATGTTCTAAAACAATTGCACCACAATGTAGCTGATGGTATCAGGCACATATTGATATAAATTTCGATATTTAATGTAGTCTTTATCCACACAAAAATTCACTTTTAATCAGAGCAACATATATACTGTTAGCTGTGAAACACCATTAAACGTCATACAAGAAAAATTAAATTGTATTTTTAGTCACGGCATCAATTATTCTTTGTTTGAGTAAATGACTGCATTTGAAATATGGATCATATATAATAAGTAATCCCTTTAATGATGTCCTAAGAATTAACATATAAAATAAGGCCTTTGATGCAGGAGAGATTAGGAAACTTTCTTTTCAGTCCTAAGGTTTTACGCCACAGGCTTTATTATTTAACCTTACTGTCAGGTTCATTACTAACTAAAAAATTCAACTTTAATGATTTTTACTGATTTTTATGCATGTAAATCCTAAAACCTCATTTTTATTAAAGTGTCAATAACTGGAACAAGCAAAACCAATATGTTCAAGTTATTGACATACCCTGTCAATTACTGGTCCACAAGCAAATACTGATATACATTGTTGTCGTTCTGTCTAAAAAGTCTGCACTATACCATTTAAATATGAGATTTAACAGCCTTTTGGTTCCAGTCATTGACAGGTGTATCCATTATTGGTACAAGAAGTGTCAATAACTGAAACACATTTTTTATTAGTTATGGCACCTAAAAAAATTATACAGAGGCCCAGTTGGATGAAGCACTTGCTACTATAGCAAGAGGGATGCCAGTAACTACAGCTGCTAAAACTTACTTTGTTCCACGAACAACGTTACTTTATAAATCAACATACCACATAAAATTGGATTCTGAGAAAAAGAGAAAACAAGAAGAACAACAAAAACGGGCAGAAGAGAGAAAGCGAAAAAGGGAAGAAAAAATTAAAAAAATACAAAACAAGGCTAAGTCAGTAAAGAAGGAAAGTTCTGACAATTCATCCGAAAACGAAGAATGGATAGAAAATGGAGACAGTATTAATGATGAACAGTATCAATTTAGAAAATGAAGGAGAGAACGAAATACCAATCAAATACGACTATATCCATGTAGGAGATTTTATTTTTGCGAAATTCCTAAGAGAAAAGAGAAAAACTTATTTTTTTTAGGTATATTTGTGTGGTTCAGAAGAAATATTTCCGAAACGATATATTGGAGTTATATCCCTTAAATCAACAAATGAAACGAATGCCTTCAAACTAGCTGATAGTGATATTTCAACAATCAAGATAGAGGATATCATAAAAAAGTATCCCAACCGGAACTGCACAATGTCGGCGATAGAATAAAATATGTATTTCCAAAAAATATTAGTATTTTTGACGCCTAAAGCACCCATACATTTTCATTTATTGTTTTTATTTTTGTGTTATGAATTTGCTGTTTATTTTTATTTACTTAGTGTATTCAAAATTAAAAGTATAATAAAAAATGTTCTTTAATTTGTGTAAATCACCGGCACACAAAAAAAAAGTTGTTTGTACATCAGACACACGACCTACCTACCGACATGTATTTTGACCCGCTGAATCCGAATTTCAAGTCAGTTTGGGCCGTCCACCCTTCAATATCCACCCTTGCAATATCTCTAAAAACTGATGTAGGTATGAACTGAATGAGGCGAAAGATTTTCTCAGATTTTGAACTGTTTTTTGTTGATATCAAACTTTTTTGTTCTCAAATGACCTCCGCAGTATTCAGCGGATCGAAATACATAAGAATTATGCTTGGTTTCGATTCACAATTTTTTTTATTACTTATTATCTTATTTTTACAATTTACTCGATATTGAAGGGTGGACGGCCCAAACTGACTTGAAATTCGGATTCAGGGGGACAAAATACATGACGGTACCCAGACAACACACCAAATCTCAGATATCCACAGAATATATTTTGTGGATATCCAATCTATCCACAGGATATCAGAAATATTCCATGAATCTAATATGGATATCCAAATGTCCGTCTATATTCAGAATATAGAAGATATTCCTATGGATATCCAGCAAAATATCTAATGGGTAACTTCCAGACAATACAAGAAATCTCAGAGATATCCACAGAATATATTTTGTGGATATCCAATATATCCAGTGGATTTAATATGGATATGCAAATGTCCGTCTATATCCCAGAATATAGAAGATATTCGCATATTCAGCAAAATATTTTATGGGTATCTTTAGTAGAAGTTTATAAGTAACCAATGATTATTGAATAACGTCGAAAGAAAATTGCAGAGATAAAAAATATTTTCAACACTCAAAATATTTTCATCACTCTGCCTTTGATTAGGCCTCTTCAGCAATAAATGGGAATTCTCGACTCCAGTCTCTAATGGAGTCTGATTGAGAAACTAATTTCGATCGAACTCAATTACGGCGGGTTGAGCATGAGTACGAGCGAAAGTGGTATCGCTATCTATACTTAGTAAACATCTAGTGGATATCCACCATGGTTTGCGTTCGCGCCTAGACTTTGATATATTTAGTGGATGTCCATGGGATATTGAATACACCTTAAAAAAATTAATTTTAAATATCTGAACGGTACTATTAGCCACAATGGCGTAATTTTTTAATAATTTGCTATATAATTACTCTTATTTTGGACATTTGCATGTCTGTAAATTACATCTCATGTATATAAAATAGATATTCACCATGGACTGGACATTCAGTGGATACTGGGATATCCAGTAGATATCCAAAGGATTTGGTGTGCTGTCTGGGTAGCTAGGTCGTGTCTGATGTATAAACAACTTTTTTTGTGTGCCGGTGAATTGGTGTGTCAATTACTGGTACATGGAAAAAATCAAGTGTCAATGACTGGTACTTCAAAACACTTTTACTATAATATTTATTTCATGAGAAGCAAAATAATTAGAAATAAAAATACATCACTAATGAACTCGACAAACTATATATAAGCTACAAGGAAAAAATGTTTGTATTATTGGTGAAAATAATTATTTAATACAAATCAGTGTCTAATAGTGTCAATTACTGGTGCAGTTACCTTAATGTGTTTATTATCCAAAAAAAATACAAAAATTTACAACTAAAAATCAATAATAATTTGCTAACAAACAAAAGAAAAAGACACAGAAGGAGAATTTTAAAAATTCTACTTGTGTTTGGCAAGAAATAATGGTAATTAATTACGTAAATATAAATAAATCGGTATAAACAAATGTCTAAATCGGTATACATGTCTAAATCGGTATACATGTCTAAATCGGTATAAATGTCGTAAATCTATAAATATATGAAATCGGTATATAAATTTAAATTGATAGTGCAAATTGATACACTACTTTAGACAAGTATGTAAGTAAAATATATACAGGGTGTCCCGAAATTAGACGGTCATATTTTAACAGCGTAATCTACATCCTAAAATAGGAGTAAAAGTTCATATAAACATATAGGTCCGAAAACGTTTCGTTTTCGAGATACAGGGTGTTACAAGTAAAGTCCTGATGGCACATTTTTGTAAATATTTTCTAAAATTTCCTTTAGTTACCGGTTTTCCAAAATAAAAAAATAAAATTTTTGATTTCACAGGCATACTAATTATTGTTTACACTTTCGAATAACTTATCATGAAATTTTCAAATGATTTTCTCTTAAAAATGGTGCGTCCTAGCCAGATGCAACAACAGTAGCTTTATTATAAAGAAAACATTGGTTTTCCAAATTTTATAGTCAAAAATGTTAAAAAATATCAACAAAAAAAACTTATGGCAATTTTACCCTACGCCCCCCCTAATTTAGCAACCTATGAAGATGATCAAAAATTGGGGTTTAGTCCATTAAATAGAGTGTAAAAAGGTAAGCATTTGTATTAAATTTCCCTTAGTTATCTTTAAACGTTTAGAAAATATTTACAAAAGTGTGTCATCAGAACTTCACTTTTAACACCCTGTATCTCGGAAAAGAAACGTTTTCGGACCTATGTTTATATGAACTTTTACTCCTATTTTAGGTTGTAGATTACGCTGTTAAAATATGACCGTCTAATTTCGGGACACCCTGTATAAGAGTAAATAATTTGACAACTCGGTATGTATTATTTTGTTTATACATATAATTTTATGTTCTCAATATTTGACCTGGATTGACATAAAATCCATTTTTAAGATTCTTTTTAAAAGAATAAAGACTTTTCTCTTTTTGTATTTCGATAGAAATGAAATTATAAATTCGAGGAGCCAGATATGAAGAATATCTACAACCTATTAATTAATTTTTAAGCTATTGCATAGCTTTTATCGCGTGCTTTGAGCGCGGCGACCGAATCAAGAAATTCCGTAACGAAAATAAACCGTGCATCGTCTAACGTCGTTTCAGTTCGGCAGACTATGGCACGGTGATGGGCACGGTGTTTGTGTGCGTGCGACTAGACTCATGCGTGTAGACTAGCTGCTAACTGCTCATAACTGATTCTATCTCTTTTAGACACAATGCTAGGTGAGACAGCGTGCTTTTTGGCAGCGTCCACGAGTGAGTTCGAGCCCACGACTAGTTGAACCTTAACGTGTATGTATTCGCGATTCAAGCTAAGTGATACGCCCTCTGGAGGAAATTAGTAAAAGGTCCCTATAAGTAGGATGACGTTCAGTGTTGCCAGAAGCAGCAAAATTTCGTTACGTCGTCGGATTTTAGTTTTTGAAGAAATGGATAAGACCTTTTATTTAAGAATCAAAATTTGTGTCTAGTAATATGTAATCATACTATTTATTTAAGGATTTTTTTATAAAATCGATTTATTATATTGATTTTTTTTTTAAATATCAGTTCATTTATTAATTTTAGTTTTAAAATCAGTCAGAGACAAAAGCAGTTCATCATTTGGCAACATTGGCGTTCCTGTTCATTGTTTACATTTTAATTTGTATCAATTACAATTAGAGTTTTTTGTTACTTTTTAGCTTTAAATTTGTTTATTTCTTATAGTATGTGATAGTATTTAAATTAAAAATTAAATCTGCGAAAAAGCCTCCAGCAAATTGCAATTTGTATGGTGTTATTGTCAAAATCAAAACTGGAGTATTCATTATTTTTCAAGTGCAAGTCATAAAATTCTGTTTCTTACGATAAATGGGTATCTACAAATTCACAATATTGAAATTTTGCAAAACGTTGTTTAGAATCAAACTCCAATATGAGTTGTGACGGTTTTATTACCATTTACATGTATACAAAGTACTACACAATTCACTTCATGATATAAGAATAAGGATAGTAAGATTTTTAAAGAAGTTCATCAATAATAAACGTTTGGTACCTGATATGTCCTTTAAACCACATAATAAAACATGTCCTGGGTCTAGTAAATACATATTTCTAGATGTTCTTGTAGCAACCAATAGGTCAATATTTCCAACAAATTAGTTCGTACTACACATGAAAAATTACATTTATAACGAAAGCACGAAAACTAAACTTAAATTAACACTAAATGAAACTCAAAAACACTATTATAATAAGAATATTATCTAAAAACAGTTAAAAAATCACAAATACAAAATCCCACAACACGTAAATAAACAAACATCCTACTTATACGTGACAAATGACAGGCGCGCGAAAATTAATTTGAATCGCGAATATGGTACGACTGTACGAAGCTCGCACGGATCGAGACGAGCTGCTCCGAAATCGGACGAATACGTAAGCAGCTGTTTGTGAGAAAGTATATAGGTATCTATCATCTATGTACAACAGTGAATAGCTGTACGCGTAAAATTTGTGTATAAAGTGTTTTAAATATGAATAAACAAAGTGTATTTATTAAAGAAGAAAGTGTATTTATTAAAGAAGAAAGTGTATTTATTAAAGAAGAAAGTGATGAAAAAATAGTGAAAGAAAATGAGTGAGTACTCTATATGCATACATTTTATTATTATCACAAATGCAGTATTTAGTACCTTTGTTTTTTGTGTATAGGTAATACACATTAATGCT